CCCCCCCCCCCCCCCCCAGCATCACAGAGAGGAAATAAGGTGACACTGACCCCTCCTCCTATTTGTCAAGGTGACTTTTCCAATTTATTTAATTCCGAGTAGAAATGTCTGGAAAAATTCATGTCTTCGATGTACTTTATAATCTTCGGAATTCTGCTAGATTTCACCCACAAAATGCTTGAAATCGCAATTCTGGGACCCTAGATTTCAAAATTTTCCCGGGGGTGCATGCCCCCGTACCCTCCTAGACGAACCTCGACCGCTCATAATTTTCGTTCTGCCTTTTTTCCTGTTTTGCCCCCCCAGTGAAAATTCCTTAAAAAAGGCACTGGTTCAGCTTTAGCGATGATTGATTTTACGAACATAATCGCTTCAGGAGAATATATTAATGACTGTTGGGAACAATGGAAAAACACATTCCTTAGTGTGGTGAGAAATTACATCCCAACCAAGAAGATCAACGGTCGAAATACTCCCCCTTGGATTAATGGAAGCATTATTCACGAGATAAGGAAGAAAGAAGCGGTGCGACGCAAGTTAAGATCATCTCCATCTGACGCCCTTCTTGCTAAATTTAAAGAGCTACGAATCAAAGTTAAAATATGGTCCGTGAAAGTCGTGAAATATTTTATAACTCTCTTGATGCTAACTTTCAAACAAACCCGAAGCGATTTTGGTAGATCTTCAAGCTGAACTGATAAACCATCAAGTGTTCCAGATATTATGTCAATGGGAAATGCCGCTGAATCTGACTCATTACAAACTTATGATGTGTCTACTCCTACTGCTATTGCCAATCTATTCAATCGCTACTTCACATCAGTTTTCAACAGTTATCATGATAACCTGGGCGAACGTTCCTCTCCACCGTCATCTCCAGCTTCAACGTCAGGACAGTCCGACCTCCAACTAACAATAGAAGTAGCCTGCGAACAGGCTCACTGGGAGAAAGGTGAGCCTGCACGGAACCATGCGTTTTATTCAATCATCCCCTTTTCGCATCTGCTAAACGCTAACCAATCAGCGTCGACTGCGATAAATAAACTGTCAACTGTCAAATTGACGCAAGGCGTGTACATTGTCACACATTGTGCAACATGAACAATAATACAAAACATTAGCCGCACAATATATTACTCGGAAAGGCATAGAATTCAAATATTAAATAGATATCAATACACATACAAATATAAAGCCGAATAAAATACTACCATTGGCTTTGAATGTACAGTAATACTTGTACTATGTGCGACTGAAAGAACAATGTTCTGAATATTTTGAAGCTATTACTAAAATACGGTCAGATAGATTGGGATTTGGAATACCGAATACGTTTAAAATTTTACTAACTGTGGTCTAAATAAATGATAAATGAGCATGTATTTATTAATTTCTCCGAAATCACGAGTGTGCCAATAGTGGAAGCCGTATCGACGACGAAATTGTCAGCAGTTAATATACAGCAAATAGTACAACATGAATTTTTTTTCTGTGTTGGTGTAGTGTACTCAGGTAAATATGATATTTGTGGTGTTACTCTGAGTGTATATCCACACCGGGCGAGCTTGAAAAATATGCCCGGCCACGGTGGGTTTCGAACCTACGACCTTTGGAATACTAGCCCAATGCTCTTCCAACTGAGCTACGCGGTCAGGACGGTTCGAGTAAGTGATATTTCGGAACAGAATTCATATTACTAGAATACATTGGTATAGAAGGAACTAGATTCTGTTCCGAAATATCACTTACTCGAACCGTCCTGACCGCGTAGCTCAGTTGGAAGAGCATTGGGCTAGTATTCCAAAGGTCGTAGGTTCGAAACCCACCGTGGCCGGGCATATTTTTCAAGCTCGCCCGGTGTGGATATACACTCAGAGTAACACCACAAATATCAAATAGTACAACGTTTAATGTACAATATATATTTATCTAAATGACATGCCAGCGAGGATCAACAATATAATTATTCGTACATATTTGGGTATCTTTTGCATGCCTTCGCTTGCTGACTTGCTCACTAATGAGAATAATCCGTGAAGCCACGACGACCTCAAAAAGTACTATACTATAGTCTGATGTCAATCCGAAGACGAAGTTCAGAATACTGTTATAGTTTCGTATATTGGATTTAAGCGATAGATTCAAGTCATTTATGATAGACTTTTTTGCTGTGATGCTTTGCTATTGCTTTTGGTCTCCACTTCTAGTTTTATTTGTTCGATAGTCCTATAATATATAATATTAAAATGAATAAAGTTCAAATTCTTCAAAATGCTGTTGTTGACATTTGCTATTTTTAGTAATTTTGTCAACGAGTGTAAGCCAATCAGAAGCCTGCGTTTCTATACGAACGCCACTACCAAGAAAACCTATCATCCGTGCAGGCCCTCTATTCTTCGCGCCGCCCGCAACCCAGGGCCTGTTCGCAGGCTACAATAGAAGAAGTCGCAAGGACACTCTAACCACAATGCAAAGCGCTACGAAAACGTAATAAGGGGAATCATCAATTCGGGGAGCTTTGACTTATCTGGTTTCGGTTGCGATATTACCTGTAGGTTTCACAAAATATTACCAAAACCAAACCCTATTCTCCAGTTGATCCAGTCTACTACTTAGATCAGTACGCGTTTCCGGCGCTTCCTATTCCTGGGGCGAGTCCTTGCACATGCAATAAAAATATGGAGGACAACCGGCTCGTTTATTGTTTCTGATCTGTTGGCAGTTTATTGGGCATTTTCTCTCAAGTCGTAAGTATTTGTCTCCCAGAAATAATATCTACTAACGTTCATTTCGTGGAGACTTAATATTTGGCCGTTTAAACGGATTTTAAGCGGGAATTATGCGACTGTTTGGCAAGATATTTTATAACGTTTGTATTTTATTGTGATTTTCAACATAATTGTTATAAGCAGCTGATATGTTACTGATCAAAGTCTTACAGATATTTTTGTTGGGAGAAGTAAAAAAGACACTGTCAGTACTTAAACCTTGTCCCTCACACTATATTAATTAAAATATTGCGAATATACAGTGTCAGTGTCGAAATAAATATGACATTTGTTTCTCAACCGGAATAGCAGATTTTGAAATATTTAGTAATTGCAGTCAGGATGTCCATTATTCCTTTATGTTTCTGATTGACAAGATAATTTTTCTGATGTTTGAAAACAGAAAAAAATTCTGTTGTTATCAGGTTTTAACTTGTTCATAATATTCTACATTGCTCTGTATGTATTAAACCACTGTGACATTCACATGGCATTCAACACAACATTGGGTATGACATTTGATCTACTGATATCAGACTGCTGCTGTCTAGTAATCTTGAACTGTCTGTGCCAGTGTAGGTAGTGGCAATAATATTAACAAGCTTTCGTTGGTAATGGTGCATAGTTGGTAATGGTAGGGATGCAACTACCTGAAAATATAAGGAGAGTTTTGATTGAAGGCCCTTCATCTGGCTAATAACTCCAGACGAAGGGTCTTTGCTCAAAACATTGAAAATCTCATTTTTCAGGTAGTTGCATCCCTACCAACGGAAGCTTGTTAATGTTGCTGTCAATGTCTGCTACGGATTTTCCTAGTAAGTTTGACACATATGTGCTGTTTCGTTCAGAGATCATAACACCACCATCTAAGTCTGATATGCATCACATCAGACAGGGTCTGACATTTACAGTATCCCGATATCCACGGGATACCAAAAATTTGGTTTTGGAAAGCACACTGTGAATGACTTGTATCCCGACTGGATACAAAGAATATTTCAAACATTATTAATAGTAAGAAAATGTTAAACACCTTTGACTGGCTCCTGATAACTTTCAAATACTATCAGTTTACCACCAGTATTTCCTCATTGAGGACTAGCATATACAAGTTTGTTGAATAATAATAATAATAATTTACCACTTATATAGCACAAATTAACATGCAGTTGATATGGTCAAATGTGCTTTACAAACTACTTAATCTATCTATAAATTTAAAATAATTACAAACTGTCAAGTTCTAAAAATTTATACATTAAAAGCTTCCCTAAAATAGTGTGTTTTGAGAAGTGACTTAAAAGTACTAAAATAAAAGTTCTCCTGATTTCTTATTAAAACTAGAAGACTGTTCCATACTGTTGCTGCTCAAGGCATTAGAAAATGCCCTGTCACCCAACGTCTTTTTCGACCTCGCAGTGTTATCCTGTCATAACTTTCCTGTATTTGATCTCAGATTGTAACGAGATGTCTTTTTGATGGTCACTAAACTGCTTAGATATTCGGGAACAGTTTTTTTTTATACATTTGTATGTGAGCATTGCAATCTTGAAATTTATTCTAAATTTAACTGGTAGCCAGTGTAGTCTTATTAACGACGGTGTGATATGATTATGTTTTGGAACCGAGCACACCAAGCGGGCTGCAGCATTCTGCACTCTTTGAAGGTTAGTCAGATGCACGGACGAAACACCAAAGAGTAAGCTATTACAGTAATCTATTCTTGACATGACAACAGCCTGAACAATCGTCTTCCTGTCTTCAAAGCATAAGAATCTCTTAATGCGCGTGATGTTATGTAGGTGATAGATCACAGATTGACAGGTCTTATTAATTGCTGTTTTCATACTCAAAATGTTATCGAACCAGGATCCAAGATTTCGAGCATTGGATACCAATGAGACCATTACTTGACCAATTCTCAACTCTGTGATCTTTATCTTTTCCAGTTGTGCACAAGATCCAATTATCAGAAATTCAGTTTTGTCTTCATTCAACTTGAGTTTGTCCACGGTCATCCATGTCTTAATATCGGCTATGCAGTTTTGCAAAGCAGTTACTACTTCTAATTCACAAGCGGTAGAATCAGGCTTAAATTATGTGGATTTGGTAGAATCAGGCTTAAGGATTATGTGGATTTTAGTGTATAATTTAAGGATTGTTTTTGACTGTTGAGTCTATGGAAACTTATTTGGATGGGACAGGATATAATACTTATGGTACCGGTAACCAGAATCCAGAAGTGGTATACTGGATTCTCAGGGGGGATACTAAACTTCGAATCCTGGTATCCCACTTGGACACTGAGAAAAATATAAATTTCAGACCCTGCATCACCAGTGCTGGATAATGGTGGGCAGTGCCAGCTGCCAGGAAATTTTTAACAATGAAAATATATTTGAGGAAATTTTCTTGCATCTTGCAGGAAATTTTTGTCATCTTGTGTTCCGGGTACTGAAATGCCAAATAAGTTACGATTGTCCACCACAATTGTTTATCACTATGTGCGGCACAGTGGCACCATATGTTCACTGGAATCTACATATTCACTATGCAGGAAGTTTTGCATTTGACTTACACAAGAAATTTGTATTTTTGAATTTTGCTGCCAGGAAAAGAAATATATTTTCTAGGCTATTTTCTTTTACACATTTTTCTAGTGCCTACGATGGAAAATGTCTAATTTCATTGTGTTCTGAGAGAATAAATCGCACATGTGTTATGGTCTGTATGGCAACACAATAATATTGTTCTTGATACTTTTGGCGTATGATTTAATTAACATCCGGCAACGATTGCCAAAAATATCAAATTACAACTGATTATATTTAGATAACCAGCCAATAAAAATCACTTTACTTGTCAAGTGACTGGCTAGTGAAAAATATGTTTCCAAAGTTAGAGCGTTTATAATTACAATTACTTTTAAAAAGACACACTTGCTATGCCATTATTTTGGATTGGTCACAAAACTTGCCATCCGGTGCATTTTTCAATGTAAATTTTCAACCTTAAATCAAATGCAAGGGAATATGACTGTTGTAATCCACACTGTGGTAAACTCTTCTCCAACAGAGGAACTTTCCATTAACTGGGTTTTTGAACAGTTTTTAAAGATTTACGATGTGTACGTCTATCAATGTAAAAACTCTTTCATTATAGATTTTGTATATGGTGAATTGGTAAAAACCTAGCCTGTGTGTCAAGGTCTGTGCTTGAAATAGAGCCTGCTACTGAAGTCAATAAAAAGTGGACAGTGATTTGGATGCACGAAATTAACAACAAATCAAAACGGCGATTGTTAATTAGATTATCAAAGCTAATTTAAAATATGACAATAACGGCCAATTTTTCTGCCAATATCTCGAGAACCAAACATTCCTATTTTCATTAAAGGGCAAGGAATTACATACTAAATAATAATAACGGTTAGTGTCCGTGTTTATATACAGCAAAGGCAGTGATTAATGTGGCCAAAAGTATAATTACAACAGCTATTTATTTCTGACCAATGGGAATTTTGCGTACGCTTCGTATGCATAAATCCAATTTTTATTGACTTCAGTGGCAGGCTCTATTTCAAGCATAGAGCCTGACACGCAGACTAGTAAAAACCATGATGCATGTTTAATACCATTAACGGTATTTTCCTGTGCACAGGAAAAAATAAAGGACCATTCATGGTTTTACTAATTTAGAAGTTGCGGACACTATTCTTTTTGACAGGCGTTAGTCTTGAGGAAGTACGCGGCTGACCGCGCAGAATTAGCCTTTTTTATCTCTCTTTTCTCCGCTTCCTCGTCTTTTTCCGGGTTTTTTCGGTGTTTGGACTTTGGCCATGGCCAGAAATTCAGGACAACATCACAGAGTAGATAAGACATACAGAGACGTAACTGACCGTTGCAAACACTGCGGAAGATTACGTTATCATGTACCCACTTTTTTTGAGGCGACCGGGCGAAAAATGATCAACTGCGCGTGCTCAGCAAGTTTAAAGTGAGTCGTCATCAGGTAGCTATCTAGCCTGCGAACAGGCTCTCAAGCTAAATTGAGAGCCTGCATCGATGACTAATGCTTTTGAATATCTGCCCCGTAACGTTCGTTTTTCCAAATATGGAATGTCTATCCTTATATGGTGTTGTTTACAACCTTCGTGCAAACTAAATTTAGACCGTGCAAACTAAATTTAGACCGTACAATTTATACTGTTTTTCGAAATATAAGATATTGGAGCAAAAGTTCAGTTTTAAATACTGTTTTCTCAAAACAGAACATTTCGTGCTTTGAGATAAGACGGCCAAGACCAATTTGATCAGTTAATGTGTTTTTTATGCATAGTGCTTCAGCAGTTGACATATATAGAGCTCAGCGGAAACATATAAATTATAGCATCGGACCAATGAGAATTTCGCGTCACGATTTGAGACGCAGATATTCAAATTCATTAGTCATCGATGCAGGCTCTCAATTCAGCTTGAGAGCCTGTTCGCAGGCTAGTAGTCATCCAATCAGATGCATGCATCTGGTAACTTGCCGAGCATGCGCACAAAAAAAGTGGGTACACTAGTTACGTCTCTGTATGTCTCTACTCTGTGACAACATGGCGATTGGCATACGCAATGTACTTCCTCATTCATTATTCAAGATGGCTGATTTATATATAGATTAAGTATTGCAAATATATGTTTTAGCAATTTCCAACATTTTTCGTACATAAATCCGAGCTCTGCACGTCCAAAACATCATTTAATTACTCGATCCTTAACCGAATAAATTTCAGAACAGTTCAAGTAGGACAAACCAGTTCCCGAGAACTATATTCCTACCTTATTTCATCACATATACCGGATAGTTAATTCTCCCAAAATTCGCAAACTGCACATTTTTGGACAGCATTTTAGGATATTCGTGGGCAGTACATGGAGCTTCTGCACGTCTGCATTGATAAAAGTTGAGTTTATCTTTGTTCTCCAACAGTTTACAAACCCGTAGAGGATGGATAAACAGGTTCCAAAAAGCCACCAAATATATGCTTTTAGCAAACAGAAAATGTGTACATTGAGCGTTGGAATTACCACAAATCACTCGAAAAATTGAAAAGAAACAGCAAATTTGTAAATGTTGATCCGCCATTTTGCTTTAAAATTGTTGCTAGGCAACCTATATGACTGACAAGGTGTATTTGTGGGCTCAGTGAGGTTGATTTCGCAATAAAATTGCTCAGATTTCGCGGGAAAATTTGTAAAATGTGGTAAAATTATTTGCAGCAGTTTCTATTTGGGCATCTTTAACAGTTGGAAATTTATTTTAAAATACTTTTCTTTCGTTTACTTGAACATACTGTACCTCAAGTAAGTATTTAAACGGCTTATTGTTGTATTGTGCGTATAAAATTTGCATACGAATACAATGTCGGATACATGCCCGACTGCATTCTATGTCTTCTATTCTTTCTTGAAATGGAAACTTGGTGAATATGAGCCCGCGCGTTTTTCCGCTGACTGTCCTGAATTTCTGGCCATGCAATACCGACTGAAAACCGAAAAAAACCGGTATTTTCCGGTATACCGAAAAACCGCCCCAGCCTATTTAGAACAGTCTTTCCGTGTGGAGGTACTAGAGGTAGTGGCAATAATAACATACTTTCATTGGTGGGGATGCAACTACCTGTACCTCAAATATTTATTTACTTTCCCATCATACTTATACATTCATTGGCTGGGAAACCACAACAGCTATTGCCAATTACAGCGGCCCCAATACTTATACCAAAACAATTTTCCATATATACTAAACGCACACAATAAACAATACTTGAATAACAGTTATTGCATTATGTCTAAAAACAGCATGTCAATGGAGAGTTCGTTAAACTTCGAGCAGAATTACATTTTATACACACACTTTTTCATATGCGGGGATCCTCAGCATAGTATGTATTTTCTAATGCTAAAATATAGTACTTAAAAAGAAGATTCTTGAATTCTGAAAATGTTCGGTCTTTGGATATACCGGTATTATGATTATGTAGTGTGTTCCATATTCTTGTTGTTCGGATTTTGTATATAAAAAAGAAATTAATCGATGTTTCGAAAATTGTTACTAATGTACCATATGGGAAATCAATAATAACCAATAATAGTAGGACCTCCGTTTTTACATTCACCAACCCATCCATGGAAATTTAATTTTTTTCCTTTGCAAGATTTGCCATTTGACAACTGAAGTTGAACAACTGAAAATTTTAATGTTTGTTTTTAGGGTTTTTCTTGTACAGACTCAAACGGCTAGCATCTTTACAAAAGTGGAAGGACAAGGGGTTACAGTTTCTACAAAGGAGTCTGTACCCAAGGTGTCTGGTGCTTTTACTGGTGCCAAAGCCAATCCTAGTGATCCTGCTGCACAAGCTAGTTCTCAAAGATGGGTACCTCCACATATTATCCGAGAGTTAGAAAACTCGAACGATGCCGTATTTAGACGAGTCAGAGCGTAAGTGATTCTCAAATCTATTTTTATCTTTGCCTGGGGCGCAACTGAAGCAAAACTTTCCCAGGGACGCCCTAAGATGTTATAAAATGATGTCATGATTGTTAAATGGGAGAAGCGGTGTTTTACAACATATCAATATATTCATGGTTTGAATTAGCGGCTCGCTATTCGCAATAGGCAATTCCAGCTTTTAACTTATGCGCGCAGGGGGTGATGGGAAGTAAGGTATCATATTGCTGATTATGCTGAAAAATTTCAATAAAAAACTACCGAAACAACCGAAATATTTCAATATTTACAAGTATAAGCTATCACTCCGTGTTTACACACTCAGGTACTATTTTTATTTTTTATTTTTCAGCATTGTCAGCAATATGATACCTTACTTCCCATTACCCCCTGCACGCATAAACTAAAAGCTGGAATTGCCCATTTGCGAAGTAAATTCGCTTTTTGCGAACGCAAAATCATCCATTTTGCGAAAGAAGTTTTGCAAAAACAATGTATTAAGGTTTACATAAAAGGTTGATTTTCACAATTACTTCGAATGTTTTTTACTATAATGTAAGATATGGAGCATTTGGCTGACTATCTATTGTAATTTTGCACTAAAAAGATGTGTGAAATGAAGAATATGGCTACAATTTCTTAAGAAAATTTACGAAATTCGCCATGAAACGACCGCCATTTTGTTTTTCGCAAGCAGTGTTTCCACTTTTCGAAACTGAAATTTTCAAGAAGGAAATTTGCGAATCGATTTTCCTGCCTAATTCGAACCCTGATATCATTCATTCGAGTGAGATGCCACACAAATCTTGTTTTACAACATATCCTTTCTTGGCCGATAATGTTCAGCTTAGCCGGAGGCCCAAGTCAAAATGGGCCCCTCTTGGTGCCCTCAGTGCATGTGACTATTACAAGATGTGGAAATGCTCAGACATCTGTCAAACGTCTAAGCCTTGCCAGGGTTGACTGCCAGCAAACATGTGCTAAGTAGGTTTCACTGTTATACTGGCAAAGTCAATGCAAAGTCACTACCATATCAACATTTATCAATATTTGCAAATCTTCTTCACACACGCATTAATGAAACTGCTGATTGTAATACATAGCTTCCACAGTTTATCAGTTGTCATCCCTCTTAACCATGAGGGTGTTTTTAGAGTGAGAGTTTTACATTTTACTGCCACTACGAAATTTTTCTTTCTGGATATGTAATGTAAAAAAAAATGGTGTGAGAATATGGCCCTTTTACATCATGTGCTGATGCCTTATAAATCTTATAGCCGTGTTTTTTTGTTTGGGATTTAAAAAGGGAGAAATTTTACGGCCGGTGAGTGGGTGGCAAGATGTCGATGGGACCTTTAGTGTTGTTGTTTACGTCTATGATAGTTTCGATTTTGTGGTAATTTTGTGACACTTGTACTTGTAGAATCCTTAATAAACTTACGCCTGAGAAGTTTGAAAAATTATCAGATGAGCTTCTACATGTTGGTATCGATACCAAATTTGTTTTAAAAGGCATTATTCTTCTGGTAAGTTAACTCCTCGCTATTTTTGGCAGAAATTTATCAGTCAAACTACTATGTGTTTGAATAGACTTTTCTCTCTATTATATATTATAACATGAGGGGTTTGAAGGTACTTTTTTGGTGAGCCTGTATACCTAATACAGTAGTGTGGTCAGAGCTACTGAGATATAATGCAGTTCCATGATCTAATGCTATAATTTTAATATACAGTACCTTTAAATACTTTGGGTTTTGGAGTTTAAGATGCTGGAAAGTGACATTTCTGGTGAAATGTTTAGAAGTTTAGTAGGCTTCTAGCCTCCTCATGGAGTTCAGACATCAGAATACTATCAACACTGACTCCATGGTTTAGATTAATAAATGATTTGCCTGTACAGTAGGGGGACACTTTGGAATGGGTTGATAGGGATGCAACCAAGTGAAAATTACAAGGAGAACTTCGACATTTCTAGCGAATCAAGGCCCTCTGAGGAAGGGCCTTCGCTCAAAATATCGGCAAAGTTCTCCTAATGTATTTTTCTGGTATAGTTGCATCCCTATCAATCCGAAGCTTTCTTATTAAGGTGACATGACACGAAATTTTTTATTGTCCCATCTGAAAGAATAGTGAATACTGTAAAGTAACTTCTTTTACAGAATTTCGTTTACATTCTTCCTTGGTGAGATAATTCAGTTTTGTTCACATACATTGCAAACAAATTAACGTCACAGTTTGCATAATGAGCTACCAAATATTTGATAATTTATGTATTTTTATCCCAACATCGTCATTTGCAAAACTGCATATGCTTTACATTGTCCTCAGTATAACGCATATATGGATTTTCAAACGATTTAATCACTTATATACGCGATAACCTGACATTTAACGATAACTCATTATGCAAAGTGTGACGTAAATTTGTTTGCACTGCATATCAAGGAAACTGAATATCCCATCAAGGAAGCACGCAAACAAAAATGTGCAAAAGAAGTTGCTTTACAGTTTTGACGATTCTTTCAGATGGGGCAAAAAAAAATTTCGTGTCAGGTCACCTTTAAGACCCATTTCCACTCAAAAATTTCCACAGACAGAAAATTTTCCGAAAATATCATTGTTAAAATTTTCTGTTTTGGTGTTATGTACTCAGCTGAATATGATGTTTGTGATGTTACTCTGAGTGTATATCCACACCGGGCAAGCTTGAAAAATATTCCTGGCCACGTTGAGAATCGAACCTACGACCTTTGGAATACTAGCCCTGGCCAATGCTCTGTCAACTGACCTACGCGGTCAGGTCGGTTCGAGTATGTGATATTTCGGAAATGAGTCGTAGGTTCGATTCCCACCGGGGCCAGGCATATTTTTCAAGATTGCCCGGTGTGGATATACACTCAGAGTAACATCACAACATCATTGTTGAAAGTTGAAAATTTCTTTTCGACTGCAATTTTGTGTTGGCCAATCACATTTTACAAAATTTTCTTTCTGCGGAAAATTTTCCCGACTGGAAATGGGACTTTATTGGCACTACCTACACCGACACAGACCTTTCGAGATGATGAACAGCTATAGTTTTGAATAACCATGTACTTCTAGGTTTATGAAAAAGCTCTCGATGAACCGAAATACAGTTCACTCTATGCCCAGCTCTGTCTTCGTTTCTCTGAACTTGCTCCTAATTTTGATGACCCGGGAAAAGCTGGCCACTCTGTAAGTATAACCTAGTTACTGTTGTTCCTTTCTGTATCTTAAAACTAAACTAGAAAATACATGCATGCAGAAACCCTCGCCTTGCTGACAAAACCATTGTATTTTCCGAACATGAAGTATCTAAAGTAGTTGTCATGGTAACACGATAATTTTTTAAGAATATTCTTACAAATGAAAAATTGCCTAAAAATATCACTTTTAATTACAAAATTATTAATTTCCCAACATATATATGTTAGGTATGTTATTATACGTAATATAAGCCTCAATTTAAGGTAAAATTCAACCACAAACTCTTCGCAAAACGTTTTAAAGTCACTAGTGTTCTTTATAAAACGAAACTGCCTTTTAAGGTGGCTCCCTACAGTTATAGTCCAGTTTAAAACATTAATATAGCTCAGACGTCATCCTCGCGACTCGCGCGTGGAATCTTCGTGGCCCGGTAAAAATCTTGAAACAAGCCGCGGGAAGTTGTTTTTGTATTTTTATGTACAAAGAAAACGCCAGTTTTTTATTATAATCCTAAACTTTTCAACATTCGAACAGTACGTATGTTGTTAGCTAGTTTTTTAGCTACCTTCAGTGTTTTTTTTTATATATTTAATACGTTCGGTACTGTATTTCATAATGCTCACAATGTTCAACAACAGTGTCACGGACTGAAATGATATTTTATACTGTCTTCAATGCACTCCTGGACTGTCACTGAAACTTACGTAAATCCTGTCATTCAACTCAGTTCACATGTACTTTTTTTATCTGCTGAATCCAATAAAACTATAATGCAGACAGTTACGAGTTGTTTTATACGAAAAGTCAAACTCTACTTGAATGTTTTGAAAAGTTTTCACACCGATTTTCACAACAAAACTAAATTTAAGAAACGTTGGATTAAGTCAGTGCGTTATTGTGTTCTCAATTTTTCGTATTTTGAACATATATCTTTTATTTTCATTTAAAATAAGAAAAAAATCTGTGTGATACATATAAACCAAAAACTCAAAGTGAAAATTGCTAAAAAAAAGCTGACTATAAACCGTACGCGTTTCGTGTTCCTCACGCATTATCTTGATTTACACGCATGCGCAAATAGTGATCATGTCGAATCGATATTTTGTTACGTCAACAGCTTCAACTGGATTTAGGACTATTTTTCTCGCGTTTCCTTCGGTGAAAATGTTTTAAACTTTGCACGTTTGCTAAGCATGACAATTCGCCAAACATATCAAAATTTCAAGAAATTCTATAAGACAGATTTTTTGTAGTCGTTATTCATGAATATCTCAAAACCTGCCTTATAAACATCCCTTCAAATTTTAATATGTCATTCCCCTTTCAACCATAAATCTTAAAAAAAAAATTCAGAAAAATTGACCGAAGGAAAAAAAAGATATTGCCGTTTGATTGTAAAATTAGACAATAAAAGTGCAAAAGATGAAACGTCATGGTTGCCATGGCAACACTAACACTGTTCCTATTTGTTCATATATCGACAGCAGAAGACTTTTGAACTTTCCTGGAAATGATTATATAATGTAGCCCTGTCTTAATATGATTTCAAATTCTCGCTTGCAAATAAGGCTTTCTTTTTTATTTAAAAAATTCAATATCATAAAAAAGGAATCAATATTAAAGATATACTGAATTTATATGCTGTCTTGTTTAGTTGTTTAATATACGCAAAGGCCGTCGGTTTTTAAAGCCATTATAAAATCAATATTTAGAACAAATTTACCTTCGTTAACTTCGGCTCCCTTCTTTTAGCCGATTCTTTCGCCCTTTCTTGAAATTTACAAAATCTTGCAAAAATGCGAGCAAAAATGAAATATATTTTCAAGAAATTTATCAATCATCAAATCAAGAAATGTTTGCTAACTTTGCTATTTCGCTGTCGTCATGCAGTTATAATGCAAACCTTAAATTGGACCAATCAGTGTCCGCTATTCATGACAGTCCGCCATATTTTTGAGATCAGTGAGGATGACCACCCATCGTTGGTGACCGACGCCCGCGATAATTTATGAACTTTAGACTTGGTTAATGCTTTCGTTTCCCCGGGTGTAAATAGCCGGGGGGATTTAGTACCCTCGCACGGCGCTTCGCGCCGTCGGCTCGGGGATAAACCTAATACTAAGTTTAACCATATTTACACCAAAGGGGCCAACTTTTCTGGTCCATTGTTAGTGCATGAAGACACTGGGGTATGTTCATTTGTTAAATGTCAAACTCGTACAATCAACTCCGACGGAATTTAGGGAGGCATGAAGCGATGCTTCCTCATTATCTTTTCTCCAAATTCAAAACTTTAAACTTAGTTGAATTAAGAATTGAGGAGTTCCAGGCCAACTACAAAGGTCATGTGTGAAGGCAATGGTAGTCTAAAGTCACTGGCCAACAACTCCAAATTTTGTGTGCAGCTAGCTACTGTATCTAAACCTAGAGTTACTGACTAACAACTGCAAAAATAGTGTCCAACTAGCAGATCTCGAAATAATGGCCGGTCACCACACATGATCGGTAAATAGTTCAGCTTGACCAGCAAATATTATCGTTTACGGGACACACATGCATGGCGGGTGAAATTGTTAATGGAAAAAATGCGCATACAAATGGAGTTTTGTACAGTAGATGTGTTATATAGTACACAAGTTTTTTGTTTGTCTCCATTCAAATAATAAATATTCTTGTGTAAATTGCGCGATGGCCATACTGTATATAATTTTTCTCGTTATTCTCGCCAAGAAAGGTTACTGAGTGGCTAATAACTCCAAAAATAGCGTGCAGCTAGCTATTCAAGCCTGAAGTTAATGGCTACTGTACAGTACCTCCACAGAAATAGAATCTTAGTACACGAGGATTAGTGTGACGTTTTTCATGTTCTCTGCAGTGCATGTATACGAAAAGGTTGACATAATTTGTTTACCAGGCGGCTTACCTCAACCAGCATTTAATGATCACAGTCAGACGCCACCAACAAGGCAACAAATCTTTCCCTATACCGAACTAATATATTTCAAAAATTCTTTATAGTATTAAAGAACAGATTGTCTATTTGTTTTTGTAATGTATTAGAACAAGATATTCCGTGATGTCAGACTTATACAATTTTGGCAAATTACTATGTGCTATGCATGACGTCACTCCGAGTGCCTCCACACAATTATTATTATTATTAAACTTTATTTAATGAAGCATTACAGTATATTGATTACTTAATAGTATTCTTCCCAATGGCCCTCGATATCTAATATGAAAAATTTTATTGAGAGTAACATTGACAATGAGTATATGCTTACAATCGATACAGCGGAACTTATTAATTAACGTGATCCACTTCATAATTCAATTGAAGAAAATAGGTTTTGGGCTTCTTTTTCCCCGAGCCAACGGCGCGGAGCGCCGTTCCGGGGCGAGGGTACTAATTCCGCCCGGCTATTTACACCCGGGGAAAGGAACGCACTAGCGAAGTCTAAAGTTCATCAAATATCGTGGGCGCATGGCTATGATCCAAGGGTGGACCTCCTCACTGATCTCAAAAATACGGCAGATTGCCAGGAGTGGGATAAGCCAGATTTCAATTTTCAAAGACAAATATTTGGAAAATCGTTTTATGTACAAGAGCTTTGAAGCAATTTTTGTTTGAAGAAATCAGAAGAATTTATTCACTATGGGAAATCGTGAATATGGGGCCAAGTTTGCTTTGAATGTTTAATGTTTATGAATTTTGTTGCTTTACGCCTACGGCTTTACTTTTTGCCTAAAACATGGACTGTTTTCGTTTCAACAAAGCTGTAAGTCCCCTAAATTACTCTGTTTAAATATAAGAAAAAAACTTATAATGTAAAGGAGAGCAAAATAGCAAATTGAGTTGAAGACGGGACTGAAATTACCTAACAATTTGAAGATAATGTTTTATTAAGTAAAAAAAAACAGTCGGCAAAATATAGTTTGGTTAAATGAACATGTCGAATCATTTTACGAAGCGTTAAGTTAATTTTGACATTAAATCAAAGTCCACAAAATGCAAAATAACATATGGTACCTACAGTATATATTTCGGAAATTCATTGTTGTACAGTTAAAATACTATTTTTTCAACTATTTTGTCCTTTTGTACAAAAAAGTATAAAAAATTGAAAATTTAAAAATGTCGTGTTGTCATGGCAACACTTGAACGCGAGCCTGCGTTTAGTGTTGGCCATTCCAGAATACTTCATGCTAATTCAATGTTTGGAAAATATTGGCGAGCGGTTGCTACGCGTGTATTTGATTAATTGATTAATTGAAGGGATTAATAATATAGGGATTAATTGAAGCAAGCTGAAATATGACTTGACTGCGACGAGAATCGAACTCGCAAACTGCTCGATCCCGTCCGACCTCGACCTTAATTAGTAATAATTACCGGAGCTAATGGAGTAACAAACCATATAAGTTGCAGGTTTGATCCCGTGGATTCGAGAGTTTGCCCGGCGTAGAGATAGCGTCAACTAATTTCATGATTTTCTTTTTTAGACTTTCCGTCGTCTTTTGCTCAAGCAATGCGAAGAAGAGTTTAATAGTAGATCAAAAACCAGTACAGGTAGGACAACTGGGCAGGGAAGCTAAAGAGAATTTCAATCTGATGATTTTGGTATGAGAACGCAGGTCACAGACATGATGACTTTGGCCATTTGCAGTAGCCGAAAATGGTGAAACAGTTTGACACAACAGATATGTCTTCAGAATGAAGAAATGCGACAATTTCGTAGAATTACCCTGGTTACAAATAATGGCAGCATTGAATTTTTTAAAAGTACATATAATCTGAACTTCAGATTATATGTACTAGTTAAAACATGAGCAGCCGATCTTTATCTGATATACAAACTCGAGGTGAAGGCGAGAGTTTGTATATTGGATAAAGATCGGTGCGAATCCATCTTATGAGTTTATTGGCAAAGTAATTTTAAAAATAAACATTGTCTAAGCCAACAAAATGAAAGCTGAAGTTTATGTAAATCAGGACAAATCTTTATCCGATTTACAAACATTGATTAAACCATAAATTATTAATGAGTATTTTAAGTACTATTTAAAGCACGCGTAGGAGTGTTTTATCACATATAAAACACGACGCGTAGCGGAGTGTTTTATATGTGATAAAACACGACTACAAGTGCTTTAAATGGCTTCAAAAACGACTCATCTTATACGAGTTCATTGGCGAAGTAATTTTTAAAATAAACTTTGTCTAAACCGAGAAAATCAAAGCTAAAGTTTATGTAAATTAACATGATTTTTTATCACATATAAAACCACGACACGCTTATGATTTTTCTTTGTGTTTTGCTCCTGAATTATTAATGAGTTTTTGAAGTACTTTTAAAAAATTCAATGCTGCCATTATTTGTAACCAGCGCTAATTCTACGACGTAGTCACATTTCTTGTCATTCTGACTTTCCAGCCGGAGCTGGGAGAAAGCACCTGACAGCACCCCGCACTACAGCACCAGTTCACCCTTGTATAGTGGATGACAACATGACTTGTATAATTTTGTATAGCATTGGACAGGAAAGATGGCGTCCTTAGTACCGAAGAGGAAGAACAAAGAGCAAGCAATAAACGAAAAATGCTTGGCAACATCAAGTTCATTGGTTAGTACAAGCACTGCATAACCGTTTGTCGGTTCAGCGAGTGGACGAAAAAAACCCACTAAAAGACAGCTGCGAAACTTGTTAGCAACGATACGTACTGTTTAAATTTCAAGGATTTACGATTATAATAAAAACTGGCGGGTCTTTTCGTAGTTTTAAGATGCTCATAAACAACTTCCCTCGGCCTGTTTACAAAATGTTACCTGGCCACACACCATTTGACTAATCATGTCCAAGGGCGCTTCCTTAAGCCACGAACCTAGACTTCACGACAAAGTTGGTTTACTTATTACTCTCGTGACATTTTTTAGCGGAAACGTATTTAAAAGTTTTTTAATTAATATTTACAAAAGAACAAAGTTCTAACATGTTGTATTCATTTTCTAACATGTTGTACTGTATTCATTTTCTTGTATTCATTTTCCTGAACATATCGTTGTAGGTGAGCTTGGCAAATTGGGTATGCTACATGAGGCTATACTGCACAAGTGTATTAAACAGGTTTGATATTCATTTTTATTTAACCACTAATTTGCTAACAACTACAATACTTCGCTCTTCTTAAAGGCAGTATTGTTACAACAACAGTATTTGCGCCTATCAAGTATAAACCATACAATGTTCGGTACAATGTATCATTTGTAGAAATTCACTGGAGGTATTCTTGTGGTATTTTTTCCTTTCGTACCAGTAATAATATACAGTATAAGTAGCTGGATGTCCGGCAATTTCCGAGGGATATTATAGGATCATTGGCGTTAGGTTATTTTGAGGTCTAAAGGGTTATTTTAGTGTTAAGGTTGTTTTGGGTTAGGGTTATTTGTGGATATTAGAGCTCGAAATTGCCGGACCTACAGCGATTAAGCAACGGTCTAATATTAGTAATCATAGAATAATAAAGGGTTATTGACCTCGCTTGTTCGGTCTGTACTGTGGAATATCAGACCGAGGTTTTTTACTATGTACCGAGCGCCGAAGGAGCGAGGTCCATGCAAAAAACAGAGGTCTGATATTTCACAGTACAGACCGAACAAGCAAGGTCAATAATCGTTTTATTATATGGCTGAACTGAGTCTGTGAGCATATGCTTTTCGCGCGAATTAAGTCGGCTATCGGTTGTTTGAAATTTTTATCTGTAAAGCACAATTGGAAATTTAAAAAGCAAAAAAAAATTCTGTTTGCAAAGCAAAAATTTCGTGCCAGATAAATGACATCCGGGACACCGGTCCAGATACGGAAAATACGGACCACGGTCCGGACATGGGTTTTTACGGACCGCTTGTCAACCAATCAGAATAGAGAATTTTGAAAAGCCATATAATAATATTTGTCATTTTTCGTAGTTACTTGTCAAGAAGAAACGTGCGACGGTGGCAGACATATCTGAGGATATGGAATGTTTATGTCACTTGATGAAGACTGTTGGCTCACAACTTGATGTTGTCAAAGCAAGGGTAAATAACATATTTTATTCACGTATTATTCTTTTATTGGTCAAGAGCAAGGGTGGGTTAACTAAGATTTTTTTAAAAATATGTAGTCAGATACAATTGCTACACATGGCATTATATAGCTTCGGGCTAAGGTTTCAAAATGACACCAATTTTGTGGATCAATAATTTAGTTGCCAATTTTCCATATGAGGGTGTAAAAAGAAATTTTTCCCTCGCATAAAACCTGTGTTTATTTTTTTCTACTTTATTTATCCATCTTAAGCTTTAGAAATACAATGGATTTATATTAAGAATATTAATACAAGGTCGCGGGTTCGATTCCCACCGTGGCCAAGCTAACTTTTCAGCTTGCCCGGTGTGGATGCACACTCAGAGTAACATCACAAACATCATATTCACTGAGTACATTACACCAACACACACAAAATAATTCTATTTTACAATGTTATTAGGTAGAGCCAAATTACACATTATAAGAATATTTTAGAAATGTACACAGTATAGAACTACCGTTTAAAACCAGAACCAGATAGAATGTGTGCTGTGTGAATAAGATCTTAGGCTGTAATTGTGATCCACAGACAATGGAATGTTGAGTTATGGCTGCATGTATACATTCACACCATGGCTGTAGATTTTATTTTTGTGAACGCATAGCCGATCTTTGAATGGATCTCGGCTATGCGGGTGCAGCCGTATGGCTGTGTGGTCCATCAAACCGACCAAAACTAGTAACCAGGGAACAAGAATGTTTAGAGTTATTGACCAGCAGGCCTTGAAATATCGGTCGGCCACGGACATAGACCGACACATTCGTGAAATTGTCCGACGTAGTGAGGAAAGTACCGGACATTCCTCCCGACCAAAGTGAAACTGAGGTTTATTGTTTGTCCGACCCGAGTGAGGTGGTGTCCGACGTAAATCAAAATGTACCTTATAGTCCAGGACTAGAGGCTCGTTTGTTAAATGGAGAATCGGAGTAATGCATAAAAAGTGAACTGGAAATGTGTAATCAAGCGCGGGGTTTTCACTGTGGCGTTCGGAAATTCATTGCCAAGATTCAAATGTATTGACTTATTTCCAAGCCAATCTGAACTCAAAGTCATCGGACATCACAATGCATGTCCGATCCAAACTTAAAGTCATCGAATGTTTTGTCAGACGGTTCTCTGACCGATATTTTAAGACCTGAACCAATAGCTGCAGGTTTAGATAGCTAGCAACCTCGCAAGCGAGGGAAGCGGAAGTAGAGAGCATGGGCCTGCCTGTCTTGCGAGGTTGGATAGCTAGCTGAACTGCTCCCACATCATTTTTGGAGTTGGCCTGTAACTCAACTAAGCGAACATCTTGCATTTGCACTTTGGAGGTAGCTTCGCTCCGTGGCTCCTTAACTTTGGCAGTCATGATTCACACGTTGGAATTTTTCAAGTTATTTACTTGGTTTATTGGTTAAAGTTGAAATATTTTCGTCGACGGAAATTTCAAGCTGAGAACTAAATATAAACATGATAATAGTATAATTTATATTTTATAGTTTCATCTTATCACACGTATGTTATGGCATGAGATAAGACAAAAATGTATTACAATTCTTTCGTTTATATTCGCGACAAAATGCCAGCAGAAAGTAAAGCGTAGTTATCGACCTAGACCTCTTTTTTTTCCTTTCAATTCCATCCTTAACTTGCGTATTTCGTCTTGTTTTTCAGCCGTTATTTGATCAATATTTTGATCGTATTCAACACATTCTGGAGAACACAGAACTTCCATCCCGTAACCGTTTCATGCTACAAGATATCCTGGAACTTAGAAAAAATAAGGTGACGTGTTTCCACATTGTTTGCGTGCAGTGCCCAGTTTTCTTTTTCACATGAATATTTAATATAAGATATGACTGTTAGTATGATGTCGTACAAGATGACGTATCAAAACAACTTGTAAACTAAATTTAAATATGGCAATGAGGAACAGGGGTGGCAGTCGCGCTCTCCCTTGCTGCTGAATTACCCCCTGCTTCTGTAGGTCTAGGGCAGGGGGTTTACCTCGTTTGGGTAACTGCAGGACAGCGGCTCACACTAGGCTTGGAGAGGGGGTAGGAGAAGGGGCAAGTGCCCCCCACTAATTTCTTGAAGCATTCAAATGATTGCTGACTAAGCCTGTAACAATGATTCTACAATGGTGAATGCCTTGATAGGCTGTTGAAAGCTTTTTATATACAATTGATTAAGAGATTATATACAATTTGTAATGGAAATTACACGGTTCGAGAAGTATTAATGAAAAATCGCACGCGTGTTTGGCGAAAAATTTATAATACCACGAGTGCACAGCACGAGCGGTATTATAAATATTTCGCCAAACACAAGTATATGATTTTTCACTAATACTTTGAGAACAAATGTAATTTCCTATTAATATGATTTTATAGTCAATTTTATACGAGCAATCAATGATAAGAAACATTGTATTTTATGTATTCAAGCGAGCACAGCCATACGCGCTTCTGCATGGAGTAAATTTTGAGAGCGATTTCTGACATTCATTTTCAATTCATACCTGTAAAAACTGTGAATAATCTTTATTTCTTCTTTTCCCTTGTTAACCAGGAACTGCTGCGAAATATGCAACTATAAGTCCCTCTGTAATCAGACATGAGTCACAAGCCCTTAGAAAGCCTTCGACACGATTAGTTTGAGCTGCGTCCTTCGTAATTCAGCTCAGCTCTCAGCTGCGAGTACAGTGTGAGGATGATTACCCCCCCCCCTTCCCACTTACTTACAATACTCGGTTACAATATATTTTGTATGCATAGTGGGTGCCAAGACGTACAGAACAAGACAATGCCGCTCCAAGACCTATACATGAAATCAGGCAAGAGGCATGGCAGGTAATGTTTTATCACACTTTTGATTTAAAGCCAACTACCCCCTGAATACCATTTTTATACACTATGTTTGATATATTTTTCATTCAAAGAAGGAATGTATCGCAGTAGTACAGTATGATAGTGAGCTTAAGGTGGCTCCATACAGTTCCGTAGTATAAATACCTTATTGCGTAAAAAATTCAATTTATAAATTTTATCACTTCATCTATTAATTTTAAGAATTCCCAAGTATAAATTAAGTATTTGATAGAAAAGATTTTCAATATTCTTGAACATAATATTGTTTCCATGGTAACAGTAGTCTCGCCAAATATGGTATTTTTTGCTATTTTAAGCAGGTTTTTATTTTTTATTTTCCGAATATTGCCGGTGACACCCCATTTTTAACTGCTGTATAGCTTTCACTTTTAATGCGGAATCTTATCCCTGAAAATAAAAAAATTCTGTAGATTAGAATAGCCAGAATAAAAAATTGCGGATTTAGAGTTTTTCAATCTACAGATTTTTTTAAAATTTTGATATTCTATTTGTTTTAAAAGAAGTTATCGTTGTGCAAAATTTCATCACATGTCACCGTGCAAAATTTTGAATTACGCCGTTTTATTGTGGTATCTCACTCGCTCGGCCGAAAGTTTTTCGAGCTCTGCAAGATCAATGAATTGACATGCGCGTACATGTTTTCGCAGGCGCATCTCCAGAAAAACACGCACAAAAAAGTTTTTAGTCTCGTCGAAATATCAAATATATTTTGTGTTTTCTTGCTTAGAAATCCAAATATATTTAGTTTTGCATGCTAACTCGGGATAACGCCAAGAAAACAGGTGATTGTGTCGTTTGGTATAAGATATGTGTGACATGTATGAACTTTTTGGCTTTTCTACATAGGTTTATATTCGTTTTCAGTCGTGTGTTTTCATGTTGTTGTTAACAATTTAAAACAGTTTGAGCGAAAGCGCATGATGCCGTTTCATTGAATTTCTTTGCTGTTAGTAACACTTCGAATATATATTTACCAGTTGCATAAGTACAAAAAACTCTGGATATGAACTTATAAATCGCCAAATATTGCCGAGTAAAAAACTTTTCGCCGGTCAGGCCGATCGCTAGTTTTCACAAGAGATAATTGAACGTTAAACATTGCTTTTTTTACCTTCAAATGTCTTCCAGAAAGATTAGTTATTCAATGTTTATAGCAAAATCAGGGCGAAGTTTGTTCTTTGAGAAAAAAATGACAACAAGGAAGACTCAAAACATCAAAATAAACATGACTTGTGGTTAGCATTTTAGACTGAAAAAGTTGTATTTATTTTTGCATATATTTAACATTTTCGCGCGAAAACTCAAGATTAGGTACCAGTTCCCCAATGATGAAAAGTGTATGGAGCCACCTTAAGTAACACATTTTATTATATGGACAATGGTGTTTTACTGGAAACTAAAACACTCGTAGAACTCATACGTCACTACCATAGATATAGGAGATGGCGGCTCAACCGGTCAAAAATCATAGACAGTGCATAGGAAAAACGATGTTTTTGCATTTTACGTCCGCCTATACTGTTTCCGATCCCGTTGAACAACCTTTTTTTGGACAAATTATACTAGACAATTAAAAATTAGTCAGTTTCTTCAAACTAGTTTCCATTGAAAACTTTTGCTGCCACTAGTTCTCTCTAAAATCCTGATTGATTCATCACTTTTCACTGTCCAGGCCATACAGACTTGAGATCCCTTGACATCTGCAACAGCAAGGAGGTCATCAAAGCACATCAAAGTCACACTAAACACTTGTAAACAGAGCATCAGAGTTTTCGCACCGGCAGACCAGGTAAATCAAGCAAAATAGGTTTTAAACTTCAAAATACTTCACAATATTATTCCCTGCATGTTATATATCCCAACCGAGATCCTCGAGAAAAAAAGCACCCAAAGAACCAAAACCTTTAATTTCTGTAACAAAATGTCTCGAACTGCTCAACCGACCAATATGTGATGATTTTCAGAAAACATTTAGCGATCGATGGTACAAATGTACATCCAAAACCTTCACACCAGTTAGTTCTTCCCCCAAAAAGGTGGTTCAACGGGATCGGAAACAGTAGGCGGGCGTAAAACATGGTTTTTCCCTTTACCGCTCTATGATTTTTGACCGGTTGAGCCGCCATTTTGAATACTCATGTTTGCGCGTGGCGTGCGTCATAGACAATCTAGGTCTCCTATATCTATGGTCACTACATCCGGGACCAGGTGCGCGTATTTTCCGTATTTCACCCCTGCTAGAGACATACGAAGTTTGAAAATTTCCCGCCATTTTCATTGCTGTTGTTTTGAAAATACAAATGGTCTTTGGTTCGTATTTAAAACGAAATTAACGTTGGAAATAAAACGAAACATTTAAAAGGCACTTTCAGATAAGTAAACTGATTTATTCTAGTTTTATTTTTGCACTATAATTTTAAGAAATATCGCTTTTATACTGGTCTTCCGCGTGCTTATTTACATGTCGTCTTTGTGTGTATTTTTGTCACTCTGAGTTAACTGAGTATAAAGTCCATATAATAAACAGAACATTAAACGGTTGCGAGAAGATATGGATTTATGTTCTCGTGTCAAAAACAATATCTCCCTCGTTCGCTGCGCTCACTCGTGAGATATTGTTTTTTCCATTCGAACATAAAATCCATATCTCTTCGCAACCGTCTAATATCCTCTACATGTGTTACACATATAATTGACTTGTAGTAGACTGTATAATGTTTGTGAATTGTCCTAATTCAAATGATTACAGTACTGCGATTACTATCCAAGTACTGTCCCCCCTCCAGGTGGAGAAAAATTGAAATGTTTGTTGATATTCGTTGTCCAATCAGGGTTGATTGTATTTTGAGTTGTTCAACGACTTCCGCTCTTTGTCCAGCAAACCTGGCACGCAAACATATTTTGGCCGAATTTTGTCATTCCCTCAAGGATTTTAGAGCGAATTTAAGCTCTTAGATAAAGCATCGTTGTTTTGAGAGTTATACGGTATCATTCTTTCACGGGATATCGATTAATCTTGAAAGAAATGTATTAATGGCGAAAAATCGAGAGTACCAAGTCTGGGCTATTTTGGTCTCAATGTTTCCTTAATTCCTTCCCTTGTTATAAGGAAGTCACAGGCGGGCGAATGCAAATAGAGCATGGGCCTCCTGTGGGTGGGGGGGGGGGGGGGGGGTTAAGAACGAATGTCAACAAGCATCAGACAAATTCGAAAATTTATGGTGACACTCTAAAAATCGATTTTGCTCATACTTTTATGTTTTGTCGTGTATTACGGGTATATCCTAATTATCGTGGCATAGTTTATTTGTCAAAAGACGATTTTGTTTTTGAGAAATATTTATTTTAGTCGAGTGGGTAAATATACTATAATTAGAAGTGCTGCAGATTGACCAACTTAATCGACCTCGTGTAACGAAAATCTTTAACCGTTGGATTCGAAAATATGGTACTTGTTTTTGTTGTCATATATACTTGACTCACTATCATGAAAGATATGAGTTCTGTACTAAAATAATGACAAATTTTTATATTCATCATACTTTTTCTGACTGTGAAAGTAGCCTCAAAATAGAGAAACCTTTATGCTGACGACCTAATGAGTGGTAAGCCAACCGTAGCAGAAGCAAAGGATTTAAAGGAAAGAGCTATTAAGATTTTTCAAAACGCCAAGTTCACATTACACAAATGGCATTCAAATAATCCTCCCCGAGAAGAACGTGAACCAGAGTTGGTCGCTGAAATACGTAGAAGCCTTTATGTTGACGACCTACTGAGTGGTAAGCCAACCGTAGCAGAAACAAAGGAAAGAGCTATTAAGACTTTTCAAAACGCCAAGTTCACATTACACAAATGGCATTCAAATAAACCTGAGTTGGAAAGTGGACAGAGTCCAGTGTGGAGACGGAGAATACCGATCTGGAGTCGCGTCTTCTCGGCCTGTCCTCAAACAAGGAAGCTGATGAGTTCAGTGTTGTGGTCCCTGAGATGAAACCGAACGTAACTAAGAGAGAACTTTTGAGTAACCTAGCAACCATTCATGATCCATTGGGCCTTGTAGCACCTGTGACACTCAAGGGAAAGAAAATCTATACCGAGAAACGTGCAACAGCATGGGATGCATCACTTCTGGAACCACAAGCAGCAGAATATGGTCGATGGGAGAGGGAAATGCCTAAACGTGTAACTGTATCAAGAGCTTTGACAACTCAGGGCGAAGCTGTAGAAGAAATTGAGCTGCACACATTTGGGGATGCAAGCGGGAAAGGAGTTTGTGCAGCCCTTTATGCAATTGTGAAACAAAGTGGTGATACCAACGTGGGTTTAGTCGCTGCCAGAGCAAGATTAGCAAAACAGGACTCGCCTAGAACTTGTTTCCGCCCATATAGTAGCAAATCTGATGATAAATGTTCAACAGGCACTTGATGGAATGCCTGTTACGGGAACCTACGGATGGCTAGCAGCACGGTAGTGCTGCGATGGTTAAAAGGGGAAGGAGAATATAAACAATTTGTTGCCAATCGCGTGAGAAAGATTCAAGCTTGCCCAGATATAATTTGGCGTCATGTCAAGACAAGACAACCCTGCTGACCTGAGAAGTCGGGGAGGACAGGTGACTGGAAATCTACTGTGGTGGAAAGGACCTCCGTGGTTGACAAATCAGAGCGAGTGGCCAAGAGATATAGTAACGACTGATATAGAAGCGAAGCCGACGCCGAAGCGACAAGAGCAGTGTTCAAGTTAGCTGTATATAACCGACCAACCCACCCTCAACAAAGCTGTAAGAGTAAACGCATGGATTTCTCGACGAGTGAAAGCGTCTTAGAAAGAGACACGGTCGTAGCCGTTGACAACGCAAGAGATAAACGACCAGCACAGTGTAAAACAAGCCCAAGCAATTCTAGATGGCAAAGTGAGCGACGATAAGCAACGGCTGGGTGTACAAATGAATGAAGATGGTATCCTCGTGTGCAAGGGTCGGTTGCAAGGTCAATACCCCGGCAGTCATCTTTACACCACTAAACTCGTAGAGATGCGCATCAACGCACGTTGCACGGGGGAGTCGGGCTCACCATGGCCAAGATCAGAGAGAACGTTTCGGTACCAAGGCTAAGACAATTTGTAAAGAAAACCGTAAGGGGATGTCATGGGTGTCGACGATTTCATGCTAAGCCAGTTAGTAAACCGCCTCCAGGAAACTTGCCCGTATATCGGACAGAAGGTGACCGTCCGTTTCAGGTCGTAGGCGTCGATTTCGCCATCAAGTATCGTGTCACTAGGAAGACGGAAGGAAAAGCGTATATAACCCTCTACGCATGTAGTCTAACGCGAGCCCTATACCTAGAGTTAACCGCGAGCATGGAAACCGACGAATGTATCCCTACCCTCAAGCGACTCATTGCGAGGAAAGGCACAACTTGATGAAAATTTCAATCATTTCATGGCCAAGGAAAAAATAAAATGGCAGTTCAATCTAAGTCTCCCTGGTGGGGGCAATTCGAACGAATGGTCGGTTTGCCAAGTCCGCGTTATACAGGTGTACTGGAAATGGCTTCTTAATGTTTCTCTTAGATGTTGAAACAACTTTGAACAACAGACCTCAAAGGTACCAAGAAGATGATATCCAAATGCCAACATTGACACCAAACAGTTTGCCGTTTGTTGGATCAACCCACCTTCCTGAACCCGAACATTACCACGAAGCCGATCCTGACCTACGTAAGCGCGCGAAGTACCTAAAGAAATGTAAAGATCACATGTGGAACAGGTGGACGAAAAAGTACCTACGAACCTTACGAGAACGACACAATTTGAAACATGATACGAGGCCATTCAGCCTAGCCGTGGGTGATGCCGTCATAATTTTTTCTGAAGAACGCAATAGAGGGAAGTGGCGGCTCGGAATAGTTCAGGAGCTTTACCCAGGAAAAGACGGGGTCATTCGAGCAGCGAAGATGAAAACGAGAAACGGTCATTTAGAGAGAGCAGTCAATCTACTCTACCCACCTGAACTGTCGTGTGACAAAAGACCATCAACCGGTAGTGAAAATCACAATCGAAAAGCCCCAGTATTTCGACCAACCCGTGAGGCAGCGGTCACCGCAAAGTTACGCATCCAAGAGCAAGCGAACGACGATGAGATTTGAACAAGAAATTGGACAGAGTATACCCTTTTGAGACGTTAAAGTTTATATACCAATACCAAACCTGACAGCTTGCTTTACTGACGCAAATTTCATCTCTGTTTACGTGGGATAACCTGTGCCCAGACCTTCATTTTTCTCACAGCTGGCGGACAAAGAAAAATGAAGACCTGATACACATGTTATTAAACGTTTGTGTCCTATAATTGGCTTTATGGTTGTAACTCTGATTGACTATTTCTAGCATGAGTATTAATGCCATATTTAATGTATTGTTTTGATAATTATATATTTAGTGATGGTACAGGAAATATATTTAGCTTGTTGTTATTATGTGAAATTGACATTTCTCCTGGCACATTTTGATTGGATATAAAAAAAAACTATAGTGTGGGTGCATGGAATGTAACTCTGGGAGGATCAAGACTTGCGTCAGGCTTTGTATGTAATACAGAGCATAATTGCAAGTTAATGAGATTTCTAATTGTGATTATTGGTTAGAAAACTAAGGGGAAATTTGCATGAAAGGTAATCGGTTCAAGTTCCAAGTTCCAGTGGTATCTCCTATATTGCATTTCATTTTTATTTTATATGGAAATAAACTGGCATGCCTCGTGACAGGGGTCTTGCTTTGCATTGCCTGAGTTACTGTACACTGGATTTTTGCAAACAAATATCAACTACCATACTTGAGTATATATGCTTTTTGTCTGTGCAAATATGATTTGATATAAGCTGTATATGTCATTCTCTTGACAAATTTTAATCTTAGAGTGATAAAATGATGGACAGTTTAAATACTGTATATACTGTAACTGGTGTATATAGGCTATAATTATGAAATTATATAATCACAAAAGTGGGAAAATATATTTCATTAAATTATATATTTGCACAAGCAAACATTTTTTCTTATATGGAGAAATTATGTTGTTTTTGCGATATAGATTCAAAATCGATAAAGACTTTAAATACAGAAATTTTGACCGTTTAAGCGGATCTTTAAAGTTCAGAAGATATCTCTAAATTTTTCGTTCGGCAAAGTTTTCCCAAATGTTTCGTTTCTCAAGTTTTCCGTTCGGCAAAATGTACGTTCGGCAAAATGTCCGTTCGGCAAAATGTCTTTCGGCAAAATGTCTTTCGGCAAAGTGTCTTTCGGCAAAATATCCAGCCACCGTGCTGTCAGAACGCAGGAAATCGCATTTCCGAGGACCCCCTAAGAGCTGGATCCGCCCCTGTTATTATCGCACAATATTCGAGGGTCATGAGGTAGAGTACGATTAATAGCGTACGATTAATATATATAAAATTTAGCAAGGCAAGAAAACAAAACTGTATACCTCAGGTGAAATCATTGAGAAATAAGATGTGCCAGTGTTACGACGATATAAGTGATACATTTTACCAGGGATTTTCTTAAAATTACAAGCAGCGTGATGTAGCAAAGCGTCTTCTTTGGCCTCCTCGAGAACTTTCCTTGCCTAAGAAAGGTAAGAAATAGACATGCTTGAAGCAGGTTGAATGGATGCATGGCCTGAGCAATGACATGATTATAAAATCATTATAGAGTTTTAACAATAGACCTTTCCGAACATTACGTCACAAGTACACTGTTTTCAACTTAGAACCATCTTAATTAAATAGAATAGATTTCAAGTTTGTTTCTCACGAGCTATGGTCAGAGAAGAACATCATTCGTCAACACATGCTTAAAAAATAATTTTGGATTTTAACTATTAATTAAATGTGGAAATAAGCTTAAACACGAAAACGAGGCTGAGGGGCCATTTATTATGCCTTTACCTGACCGCAATTCATCCATATTTACTATCCAGACTGTTGAGAAAAAGCTTGCCGTTATATATTTTAAAACCATTTTGTTTTCCATATCCTATAGATATCTCAATTTAATTTGTACGATACTATTTCTTTAATATGTTATGTTTTTATTGTGTTGTATGGTGTCCTGATGCTGTATTGTGTTTTTGAAACTTGTAAAGTGAAAAGTGTATTAAAATTAGAGCCATTTCCTGAACAAATTAATGCTAAACAGAATCTATGCTATCCAGTTGTGTGTGTGTGTGTGTGGATTGTGCGTGCGTTAAACCCTCGGGTCGACTAATTAGGGCTGTACGTCTGCGAACAGGTCGTAAAGCAGAGATGGCGGCATACTGTGGTGTACAGGGTGAAGAGAAACTGTTTGTTTGACTTTGACTAACTGTTGATAAGTCAAAATTGTCCGATAAAAACTTTTTGTTATATCCTAGAAGATTGCCCAAAGTAACATCGTAAAGCTTTTTCGTGAGTGACCGTGCATGCTTTTTATAATAATATCGATTGCAAGGCCGGCGAGAGGTAACCACGGGCCCCGGGACAACTTGGTGAACACGCCCCCCTCCCCCGTCCCTCTTGACTCTCACGCTGATGGCCACACCAAAGTCTATTTTTTAATCGCAATGAACGAGGGAATCGCCAGCGAATTACTTGCAAGAAATCGCTGGAGAATTTCGGTGCCAATGGCGCGTGTGCCGTGCATGCATCCGTACCACCAGATGGGCGTAATAAATTTGTTCAATACAGGTAAATACATCATTTCATCTCATAAAGACGCGATGTAAACGATATTTGGCTAACTGCTTCTGCAGAAAAGACAATCGAAAAATTGTTTATTTCACATTTGGTACGTTTTACGATCGATCACGACCATCAGTGGATAGTGTGCAAGTAGGTGTATTTCATTTAGGACAAACATAAAGTGATGATAAACGATACGAACATTTTAGCGAGTTTTCGTGCTAGGTCACGTTCGGTTCAATCTGCTGGGCCGATCCAATTGTGGTAAAATTTTCGAGCTGAGTTTTGGTCAGCACCTTAATTAAACTCAAGGCATAGAAATTTACTAATCTTTTAATTTTTATGTCGTTGGCATTGGAAAAATCCAATTAGTTTCTGCGTTACAGTTGTTTGCATTAAAATAATGGACTAGCTTCCTAGCTGCGTGAAAAGGCACTAGCTATACGGTCCAATAAGCACAATATTGTCTGCTATAACTGTGGACATACATGCCATGAGCTTGTGGCGCCCAGCACAACAATGGCGTCTTTCGGTACTTTTCCAAGTTACCAAAGCAACAATGTGTGATGATGCTAGCTAATGCGGTCGTTGACCATGTGTACCTTTTGCCTTTACTCGTTAGGCTTTGGAAAAGGTAGTTGGCGTCTAGACTTGCCCAAGTCGCTCGCTAGTCGACCGCGTACCAAGAAGGGAGCGCTTGAGAAAGACGGAAGCGAGCGACTTGTGTCACTTGCCTGATTTTGAATCTTACTGAAAAATTTGGCGCGAAAATCAACCATATAAAATTAACCATACTGCATGCACTCAAGTGCATAGGGTGCTATCTCAAAGCACAAACTCTTCCCAGAACCCGTAGGTAAGCAAACAAACACATCTTCTCCAATAATATAGGCTTCGACAACTTTCTGTTGAACTTCTCTTAACGATTGATAACCCAGTTTTTTACTACCATAACTTATAGCTTCTTTTACTTTTGAATTTATATCCATTTTATTTTTTAGCTAG